CGTATTGCATACTTTTACACAATTTGCGTACAAAGCGTGGCCATTTTCTTGGGCTGTTTCATTTCAATTTTCCCGAAATTTGAATTCAACCTTCGTTATGGTGGAATGGTGATAAATTTAAACAGTTTTTAAAATCAGAAAAAAAATTGTGACCTTTAGAGAATCTGCAAGCTAAAAATGCAATTTTCCGAACAATAAGGGGCCATAATCCAGGAAGTTACGTTCGGATATGCGGACATACGCCCACAACAGCTAAATCGTCTGAGCGGTTGTCGCATATTTATTCCTTTGTAGGTAATTGGGGGCCTTTACAAGACAGTTCCCTACAGATCAGATTATAAATTTTGTCGTTTGAGGGTATACAAGGTTCTACAAACTGAAACAAAATTCTCAACTCTGGAAGTAATCTACAGAAATTGTTGAAATTTGACAGGCTTTTTCGTTTTACTAATTTAAATAATGCATATAAATTTCATACAGATCATATGATGACTTTTGTCATTCAAACGTTCACAATGCCATAACTCTAGAAATTATTGACGGAAATTGCTGAAATTCAATAGTCGACCTGTTTCACAAATTTAAATCATGCATAAAAATTTCATACCTATCGGATGATAACTTACATCAATCGAGCATTAAAAAGGTTTAACAAAGTGAAACAAGGGCAATAACTCTAGAAGTAATTATTGTAAATTGCTGAAATTCAATAGGCTTTTTCGTTTCACTAATTTAAATCATGCATATAAATTTCACAAAGATCGGGTCATAACTTTTGGCGTTAGGGCGTTCACAAGAAACAATAAAGTGAAACAGGGGCCATAACTCTAGACGTAATAAACGGAAATTGCTGAAATTCAATAGGCTTCTTCAATGTGGCCGTATAAAAAGGGATAGAGAGAGAAATGGTGTTTAACGTCCACTCGACACAAACTAGGTCATTTCGGGACTAACATATGGTTTAATTTTATTTCAATAATTCGCTTGCGCGTAGGGGTATTTAGCAGTGGGAGGAAACCGGAGAACCCGGAGAAAACTCACGAGGTTGGACAGGCGACCCTAATCCTTGTCACGTACAACCGGGGATTCGAAACAACACCAGTTGAATCAATGACAGGCCGTATGATACAGCATGCACGTGCTAACCTTTCGGCCACCCCCGTATAAAAAGGAACCAAGATCTTAGTGTGAAATGGTGATATATTGACGCAGTTTTTTTTTCAGATGAAAATTGTGACCTCTAAATTTTGTACAATCAAGGCCAAAAATTCAGGAAAAATTACGATCCGATATGCACAAATATCAAAGAAAGGTTGCCAGGCAACGAAACATACACCCACAGCAGCTAAATCGTCCGTGCAGTCAACAAGGGTTGTCACATATTTTTACTTCTTTTGGTAATGAAACATTTATAATACACTAAAATCTGATTAAGAGTAACAACTCATGAAGTAATTATCAGAAAACCATTAGAATTTGTTTGGTTTTTATAAAGTTCTGCCCCATGCTAACGTTTAGTATACAAAACTTTTAATATCATGGATTTAGCTGTTCAAGTCATAAAAATTCATTGAAAATCAATATACTTGTTCGTCTCAAGCTCTTAAACTCTGTGTATCAATCTGAAGTCAATCGGATGATAACTTTAGCCTCTAGAGCGTCACAAGATTTTTCAAAGGGATCAAGGGTCATAACTGTGACAGTAATTATCGAAAATCACTGAAAATGAATAGACTTCTTTGTCTCATGACCTTAAACACTGTGTATAAATTTGAAGTCAATCGGATATTGACTTTAGCCTCTAGAGCGTCCACAAGATTTTACAAAGTGATCAAGGGCCATAACTCTGGCAGTAATTATCGGAAATCGCTGAAAATCAATAGGCTTCTTCGTTTCATGGCCTTAAAGATACATTATGGGAGATTTTTATAGAGAGTTGGCCATTCTTGCTATAACAGTTCAAAAGTAGATGATGAAAGAAGAATATATTGAAAAATTCAGTCAAATTACTTTATTCTGAACATAGTTATCATCGTTGTAATATTTGACTAAAAATGGTAGCGAAATGCGTCTTCACCTTCGCCAATCGTTTGATTGACAGGCGTTAACTCCACCTACATATCTCGATTATCAAGTAAAGTTTTCAATGGCATACGGAAACGCTTTACAGCGGCCTCGCTAAGTACACTCTATCATTTAGCCTCGATTTAACTGACGTATTTTCATCAGGTTACCCCTTATTTGATTTAATCAATTAGTGAAATCCTATTTAAATCCGAGCTGTAGCCGAGCCAACCGTGGGTCTACAGAGTTGATTTTGGTCTTATTGTTTAAATAAAGATCTAATTTATAATTTCTATAACATCTGAAGCCTAAATTAAGACTTGCAATAATCAGATTTAGCTCTTGCATAATGCATGTTTAAACACTGTATATAAATTTCAAGTCAATCGGATATTAACTTCAGCCTATAGAGCGTCCACAAGCAATTGTGGACGACGGACAGACGGACGGAGGGACGGACGGGGGCGACGACAATATACAACCACATTTCAATGTGGGCGTATAAAAAGAACTAAGATCTGTGGGTTATAAACATGTATTTCAAGTTTCATCAAAATCGGATCAAAATTGTGAGCTCTAAAGGGTCCACAACCTTGATATACCATATTTAACGGCGTATAAAAAGTCAAGTATGCACCATATTTAAATTGGAGTTTTTGCAGGGCAAATAGCTGTAGTGGAGGGCAAAATGGGTTTGTAAAATGAGTTTGTTACAAATTGTGCCCCACAAGTCTTATGCGGGACCTATTGTGATCCATGACCAACCTAGAGTGTTCCATGATATTTATGTGTGGGCTAGCGTGACCCATTACCCACCTAGAGTTCCACCATTTTCATGTGTGACCTAGAGTTCCATATAATTTTTATGCTTGGCCTGGCCAAACCCATGACCCACCTAACAATTTTGTGTATTTTTGTTACTTTTTGGAATTTTTCGATTTTTTGCGGGTTATTAGTATTGCCCTTGAATATGGTGACAACATATTTTGATTTTGCACCAACTCATTGTCACTTTAATATGTCATCTGTATGTTCTTTCCCAATCATGCTAACTGGGTGAGGTAAGAAAGAGTTACCCTATTACCCTGGTACAGAAATAACAGTCTTTTCTTCTATGCCTCGAAAATTAACCATGTATCATATAAATTGCTCTGTCTGGGGTTTGACAGTGATATAAAGGTACAAGTAAAATATATATATATATATATATATTTACTGTCTAAAGTATCAAGCTTTATCAATTAAAAAAGAAATTGCTTTCTGATATCTGTTCTAGCCATCTTATTATTTCAACATCTTTAGTATTTCACACTCTCCTATGGAGACTGAGCAAGAATAAATCAGGAATGCAATTGCCAGTCTTATTTGACTCCATCATTTGTTAGAATTTATTTTATTGCATATCAACACTAAGCTATTATAAATGCAACTTTTTCTCTTATTTTTAGATTAGTAGCCTTCAGAAACATGTTAAACATTGAATACTATTACTGATCTGTGCAAAGTCACCCGAGCTAGCCTTTCATCCGGTAAAGTTAACTGTTTAACCAGTGGTTGCCCGGCAAGACAGATAGAGAACAAGCTACAAAAAACAAGTGGTTGACATGTAAGATACATTTCAAGTTTCATTTGCGTACAAGGAGCGTCCATTATGTCAAACTCAACCTTCATTGATGTGTAACGGTGATATATTTAAACGTTTTTTGAAACTGAATACAAATTGTAACTCCTAGCAGGTCCACAAGCTAACCAGTGGTTGCCACGAAAGATACACCCACATTTTCCAACAGATGGATAGAGAACAGGCTAAAAAAATAAAAGCGATTTTTCGTACAATTAGGGGCCATAATCCAGTAAGTTATTGTCTGAAATGCGCGAATATCGAAAGGGACTGAGATATTTTGGATATAAAGATATATTTTAAGTTTCATCAAAATCGGATAAAAATTGTGACTTTGAAAGGGTCCAAAACCTTGGTATTACATACTTTTACACTATTTGCATACAAGGAGTGGCCATTTTGTCAGTCTGTTTCGGTCTGATTTTCATTAGGATGATACATTTAAAATCGGATCAGAATTGTGACCTCTAGAGGGTCCAATCAGGGGTTATAATCCAGGAAGTTATGCAAATATCAAAAGGAACCAAGACCTTCGGATTAAGATCATATATTTCAAGTTTCATCAAAATCGGATAAAAGTTGTGATCTCTAGAGTGTCCACAAGCTAAAAACATGATTTTTCGTACAATCAGGGGCCATAATCCATTAAGTTATGGTCCAATACGAGCCAATATTGAAAGGAACCAAGATCTTTGGGATATAAACCTATATGTCAAGTTTTGTCAAAATCGAATAAAAATTGTGACCTGTGTCGGCGGGGATCACGTGGCTAAGTGGGTAAGACGCTGGCTCGCTAGCCTGGAGGTCGGGTGTTCGATCCATGCATTGGCCGAGAAAGTTCATCCAGATTTTCCAGCGTGGTTCCCCTTGTCAGTGATGCAGGACGTAGGGCCTGACAAGGACAGCTGTCTAGTCGTTCGGATGGGACGAAAAACCGAGGTCCCGTGTACACATTGGCATGCACGTAAAAGATCCCTTGGCAGTTGGAATTCGATATAAGAGTAGGCTGTAGTGCCGCTGCCCGGGCAAAATTTCCCTCATAGCACACGGTATGGCGTATACCTGTCTTCATTAGCCCAGTTTATTAGCAGAATAGTAGGACGTTAAACCCCATTTCATTTCATTTCATTTCCTGTGTCGGCTGTACGTGTAGTGTCTACAAACAAACTAGCGGCATACCTTCAAGGATTGCTTTCTGGCAAATTTATATATTTGGTCAATATTTGATACCGTACCGGTAATGCTTCAGCCTTTTGAACATTCATAACTTTCTGTTCATAAAAATTCAAACATTTACAATCAATGTAATACTTACCGACCAATCAACTGTGGATCGTAATTCTCGTCGTTTATATCCATATTCAGCGTGGCTGGGATGAAGGTAGTGTGTTGGAGTGTGAACATATGAATTTTTTGCTATCGCTCTCCTGAAAAATATAGAAATAGTTTGTATTAAATCTCTAATATAAACAAGCAGGTTGGTGCATTACTTTGTTGATATTTTTGAACCAAAGTCTATTTAAATATACACTGGCAAAAATGAGACATCAAACTGATCTCTGGTTGCATCTAGATTAGTTATATATTAAAGGAGCATTATTGGAGATTATATAAAGAGCTGACAGTTCTCGCTATAATAGTTAAAAAATAGATAATGTAAAGAGAATATTCTGAAAATTTCAGTCAAATTCCTCCACTCTGAACCGAGATATTAGCGATTGAATTTTAAGCCTATCCTCGATCATCATATAAAGTCGGTACGTAAAAAAAAACAAGTCTCGATTATCCATGATGTTAAATCATCCATCACAAAATGTATTCAAATCCAGTAAATATCAAAGGCTAGCAATGGCATCAAGAGTTGATTATGATTTGGATAAGTTAATTAATGTCTAATTAATAATTTAGATAACATTTCAGGCCTAAAATCAGACCTGCAATAGGTAGATTTAGCTCTTGCATAATTTATGTTTAAGTTTTTGTGTTAACATGAATATTCTTTTGGCAGAAGTTTGGAGACTACATGTATATGTTAAAGATCAAATGATCTTCGTTGATTTTGATTTTGATAGGACCATAACTTCCTAGGTTATGGCCCCTGTATTTTATGCAAAATGTGTAACAGTTTGTGAGCTCTCTAGAAGCCACAATTTTCATCCAATTATTAAGGATCAAATGTACAGTAGAGTCTGTATGAGCAGCCACTCCTATTCAGCAACATCTCCTTGTAAACGGTCAGGATAAATTCCCCCCGTAAATTCTGTTGTTTCATCTCTTTATTCAACGGTCACTCCTCTAACGCGGTCACTATTTTACTAATAAATTCAACAAAACATCACCCATTCAACGGCCATTGTTGAATAATACCATCATTCTACTGTAACTTTCTGCGTTACTTATAGCCCCTATTTGGTGTGAGGATGAACTTTATCAATTTCCAGCATGTGGAAAGTATTGTCTTTTAATTATGGAATACCTTTATTGTAGAAAATGTGAATATGTGGTGTTTTAGTGTTTGTATAAACAGGCAGTGAATTGACCTAACACAGGTCCCCAAAATATAAATGTACTTTCTATTTTTTGCCCAATAGAACCTAATAATTATACACTCATCACAGCTGCGAGCATTGAAAAACATACCCTCTACTATTTGTTAATTCTGTACTTTATTTTCGTTTGATTTTAACAGGTGTTTGGTTTAGCAATAAATATCTGGTGTGATATGTCGAGAGGGAGGTAACTCATACTGTACACTGATGGAGGCAGACCACCATTAAATTTCATCATCTCGGTACCCACGAATTGTAGTTCGTCTATTTATAGCAATTCTCTCTCTCTCTCTTTTCTCCCCTTTTGCATGCCCATTTGTGTTGATTTTTTGGTCTAGAATGGACGAAGAGGGTTTGAATTAACATTTTCTGCCAGGTTTTGGTAAATATTCATGATTTTGAGGCGGAAGGATAAGAGGGTTATCAGGTTAGCTACGGCGATATGTACGGCAACTAGTTACATGTTTTTAGTATGCTTCTTCAAGTTTGTGTATCTCAAAATTTTGGTGGTCAACCTCATACAAATTTTAGTGCAAAGACATGACCATTTGTTCCTAAGTCTGTAGTGAAAAGCATTCAGCCCAACGAAAATTTGGGGAAAAGTTGGAGGTGGGCAAAGAGGCCAGAATTAACATTGAAGTCAATGGGGAAATTAATGGTGGTCTGCCTCCTTGATAAGAGTAGCAGACATTGTGTTGCCCCCTTGGAGTATACTGTTAATAAGACTACTGAGAATAAAGAAAGATTGTACCTGGCTACAATTCAATAACTATTGTTTCTTATAAAGGTCATAGTTGACCTTCGAGCTAAAAATATCTTTCTTTATAATCTTTATGAAGGTCAAATGTGGTTTGTGCCAAATTCTTATATATTAACTTACATTACTTCATTAACTACAAAATTGAATTAAGTTTGATTATATGATGTCTGTATCAATAACTAGTGTATGGATTGGTATAAAACAGTTGGTTGATTACAAATCAACTAATAAGTTATTACCAAGTATCATAAACTTTTAAACATAAGACACACGGTACATTCACATGTTAACCATTGTCACTTTCTGATATTGAAAATAGTCCACATATAATATACTCACTCTTCTAATCTATGTTTGGTCACTCTTTCATATTTTTCTTAATTATTAAATTGCAGTATATGACTAAGTTAAGATGGCAGATAAAAATATTTCCATCATTATCAGTGATTGTTTTTGTATATGACAATCTATATTTACTTTAGATTCAATCATCAATTACAGTATATTTTACATTTAAATTTATATTGTATCATGTTACCCAAATAACCTCCTCCATAATTCATAACTAAAGTTAATTAGTCATAGTAATAATTAAGAAACCAAAAGAACTTTTAGTCAGATGAAATCAGCTAGAAATGTCACTCCTTGTCTTCATCAGTAGATGACTTTTCTTATCAATCTCAATTTTTCAGCATAAGATACTATCTTGTTCTTACATCTTGGTGGTGCACAATTTCTAAAGGTCACTTTATTAATTTAATTGTGATGAAGACATTGCTTAAGATACCTTTAGTTGTCTGGTTGAGATATTGAATTCTTGCATAATGAAATGATAAAACGTGTGGGTATGATAAAATATGGTAAGATTATATTATAGCCCATGTTGAGCAGCTGGCTTAGGAATGCTACCTATCTACTCCTACTACATATTGACATTTTCTACAAATTCCTAAAGGACAAAATAATAATAAAACCACCTAAGCCTACAACTATATACTGTTCAACACATATAAATGTTTGTTTATATTGATCAAATAGTTAAATTTTATCCTCTCGATAAATTATTAATTTGAACATGGTGTATTATTAAGACAGCAAATCCAAACTATCAATGTTAGACAATCATTCAACTTGGATTCAATATGAATAAAAAAAAAAGGGCCAACACCAGACCCGCCAACCTCTCAGAGCTACAATGTAGTAGGGTTGTGTAAAATATGCAGTCGAAACCATCATCATTTGGCAGTAGATTTCCAAAAGCATGTAAATTCACACTTCCAAGGGTAATTTATTTAGAAATGATAAGTAGGCCCTCTGACACAAGAAATGAATTAGTTTTTAAATAATTAGTTTAAATGGCTACGGTAATAGATATAAATTCAACACAAGCAATGGTAACCATATCAAATTTTGGTAATTAATCAAATGACTAAAATTTAAAAATTGAATATGTATAGTCTACAGAAAGAAATAATGTCAAATATAATTATGATAACAATTACCACTTTTAAAAATATCCTTGTACTTGTGTTCCTCATTCTGGAGTTTTTTGTTAATATTGTTTTATAAAAAGATAATTGGTGTCCAGATCAGATTTTATAGTAGGCTTATTCTTAAATTGAGAGAGAGAGAGAGAGAGAGAGAGAGAGGGTTTAATGTCCACTACACACAAACTAGGTCATTTTGGGACTAACATGGTTTAATTTTATTTCAATAATTCGCTTACGCGTAGGGTTTTTTTAGCAGTGGGAGGAAACCACAGGACGGGGAGAAAACCCATGAGGTTGGACAGATGGCCCTACTCCTTGTCACGTACAACCGGGGAATCGAAACCAAGCCAGTTGACTCAATGACAGACCTTATGATACAGCGCACACATGCTAACCATTCGGCCATCCAACCCCCCTCATTAAGAATAGAGTGGGAACCGTAAAAAAAAATGTTTTGCATAACGACTAATAGTAATATCGCCACCATTCAATTCAATCATGCCCCTATATATATGCCATGGCAATTATTTTTTCAGTCTCACAATGTATGGGAATTTTTTCTCCGAGATTCCGAAAATCTGTTTTTACATTTATTCGAAAGAGCGTTTCGTGTTATTCAGAATTGACGAGACTTATTCCCATCTTGAAAATACAGTTTTAGGTTTTGTTGTATTTGAAATATTGTATTTGATGCTGTACAAGTGCAACCGAAAATGTCGGCTATTTGTTTATTTTATTCCATACGCATTTTAAGATTATTGGAACACGTGTCAATAATTATATCTACTTTCTTAACTCTAAAATAGGTTGAAAACTATTTTGATTACAGATCTAACAGTTAAATTACACCGTACAATTACCCCAAATTGATGTTGTTAACCAAAAGTCGTTAGCTCAATAGTTTTGGCAATAAAATTAAAAATTTCTTTGTCTTTGTTCGAAAATATGGTATAAATCTATTACCGCACAGTAGAGCAGTACATGAACGAAGCCCTTTCGCGGCACTGTACCACGTGGTGCGTTAGAGTTGACAGGTCTGGCCAACACAAATAGATATTGCTAGTTTGATGCTGAATATTGTGAAAATGTTTTGACTGATATTCTGACAGATTCAACTTTTACAATGTTGTAGTTTGCAATGGATACATAGTCCCTCAAAGGACGATTGAATTAATATTAAATGAAACCAAAAGATTTGCAAGATTTATAAAATAAAAGTTGACAACAGAGCAGTGTTTGCCTGGGACAATTAGTAACCAAATCCAATTGCATGCACACTTTCAATCTTGAAAAAATGTTTGGGGCTCGCTTTGTACTTGGAAAGCTGTTTTTGTTTTGATATTTTGCCGTATATTTGTTCTCACTATTTTCCAAAACATCTTGTTTTATTCCATTATGAAATAATTATCATGCAATCTCATCCATGGTAGATTTGAAAAACCTAAAAAAAATACACTGTACGAAATTCACTTTGGTTCAAGCAATCATGGTCCATCAATCTGCAAAGCACTAATCCTCATTAGGCAAGTCTTTAATTAACAATATTTCATCAATGGTCATTAATAGTGCAAATAAATCTTAGACCATAAAGACCTGAAAACTAATCAATTAATCAAACACTAAATCTT